ATTATTGGTGACATGGTTCCATTCACCAGCCTATCACAGGGGGTGGCACTTTCCCCTGGTGCGCCCCTCACAATCTGCCCCCTTAAGATACATTGTGTTTTGTACATGCGCAGCTGTGATGCCAACAGGATAAGAGTGAATCCTGCACTGGCCATAGGCGCGCTTCCGAGTTCTGCACAGTCCACGAGGAATGAGATAATATCGCCCTGAAAATGGTACTAGTGCACCAAAGAGTGTCCTTGCACCAGTGCACCAAAGAGTGTCCTTGCACCGTTGGCTTCACACCACAATTATTACAGAGTTTGAGATCCCCTCATGGAGATTTCCACCGGGTGTCTCCATCCCCCTCGCGTGGTACAAACTCTGTAGCCTGAGGATCCGCATGTCATGGGCCAGGTGTGTTCCTGAACCAACCATTCGGACTTCACAGCTGCTGCGGAGGAAGGGCCGGGATGGTTCAGCTCGGGTCCCTCCGAGGAGCTGGGGCTGTCGCTGACCCCTGCACAGCCCTGGCCCTTTCCGGGCCCAACGGGGACATGTGCTCCCTCTGCCTGGCCCTTCCTTTCTGAGCGACTTCTAGACAAGTTCTATAGCCTCGTCCCAGGAGAGACACAGACACCCCCCCCCCTTTTGCGGGCGATCACCTCGGGGTTCATCCCGCCAGCGTCTTACTTGACCCAGAGCCTGATTTTACATTTCATTGAGTCTGATCAGAACCGAATGATATGATCAGTCCCAGAGCAGACCAATGTCTGCACTATTATACCAGTACTGGGTCCTGCCGTGAAGGCGGGGGACTGGACTCAGTGATCTCTCGAGGTCCCTTGCAGTCCTAGTGTTCTATGATTCTATGATATCTGCCCAGCTTCTGAGCCACACAAGCCGAGTGCGGCTCCAGGACTCGGGGCCGCAGGGTCGTCTGTTCGTCACTGGCGATGGAGGCATCATCCTTCCCAGCTCCGGTCCCTGGAAGGGAGGGATGGGACGCGGGTGGGACACCCCTTTCTGCACCAGGAAGGCAGCGTGGCCTGATCGTCTGGCACTGGTGATGAAGCCAACATCCCTCCCAGCTCCAGTCCCTGGAAGGGAGGGATGGGATGTGAGTGGGACGCCCCTTCCTGCACCAGGAAGGCAGCGTGGCCTGATGCAGCGAGCCCTGCGATGGGACCAGCTCTGCCACTGGCCAACTGGGTGGCCTTAAGCATGTCTGTGCCTCAGTTTACCCACTTGTGAAAGCAGAAGAGTCACGTTGTTGGTGAGGGAAAGACATAAAGAGGACTGGGGGAGTTACCCAGCTGGGTTCGCCAGCGGGGGAAGGCCAGGAGACAGGGCTGTGAGTTGTTTCTTTTCCCTGTTGAAGAGAAAATATCGGATGGGAAGAAATCCCATGGCCGGCCCTTCCTCTACCCGCACATGGGGGCCCTCACCAGACAAGCACCTTAATCCTAGAGGCCTCCAGCCAGGCCCGGGGCGCACCTCCTGGCCCATCAGCCCTTCCTCTACCCGCACATGGGAGCCCTCCCCAGACAGGCACCCTGATCCTAGAGGTTCCCAGCCAGGCCCCGGGGTGCCCCTGCTGGCCCATCCCCCCCAGGCTTCCCTCCAGCTGAGGGAAGGGCCCAGGCCGGCTCATGTCCATCCTGGAGACAGGCCTGTCTGCACAGACCAGATGAAAGGAGACCTCTGGCTCCCCACGCGGCCTGCAGCTCAGTTCGACCTTCCCCGGGGCGCTGCCCAGGCAGGAGCTGGAGGGGAAGTGTGGGAAGGGGCTGGATACAGGGGTTCGTAGGATCCCTGGGTGGGCGGGCAAAGCATCAGCAGGGTCCAAGCCGGCTTCCTCATCCCTTGTTCCAGAGAACTCCGGTTTGCAAGTGAAGTGAAGTGGAGCGGAGGGGGTGGGGAGCTGTGTCTACACTTCCAATGGAGTCTGCAGGGTCTCTCCCTGGCTCGGGGAGGGGGAGTGCAGGACACGAGCTGGAGGGGGTCTCCAGAGATCAGCCAAGAGCAGTTTGCAGAGCTCCCTGCCAGCTTGCCCCTTGTGCATGGGGGGGGGGGGGGGGAGATCACAAAGCACCGCGTGGTCTCTGCAAAACCAGGCGTAGGAGGCTGGCAGCAGAGCGTGAGCAAAACTGCTTCCCTTTGGGTCCTGGTGCTCCGTGCAAGGAGTTCTGTGGGGGAAGGGGCGGAGGGTTGGGGTGAAAGGCCTGTGTCTGGGGGTGCAGGCTTCTGGGTGGCTGGGATGAGGGGCTTAGGATCCAGGAGGGGGTCTCCAAGTTTGGGGTGGGGCTCAAGGCTGGTGTGCAAGAGTGTCCAGATTCTGAGCTCAGGGCTTTGAGGTGGGGCCAGGGATGAGAGTTTTGGGGGGCAGAAGAGGGCTCAGAGCTGGGGAGGTCTGCAGGTGGGGCAGGGGATTGGGACTCAGGCTTATCTGGACGGCTCTATCCTGGGGAGAGCCTGTGTCCCCCAGTCACGGCAGCTTTCAGGCTTGAGGGGAAGCTCTCTCTCCCCGCTGCAGTCGGTAGACCCTACGCAAGGCTTAATAAGATGCTACTGTGCCCACCCCCCTTCCCTCTGGGCCACAAGCTCTGGTCTCCCCCAGCCAAAGTACAAAGTCAGGGGTACCACTCTGGGAGGCTCAGCCCAGAACCCCAGATAAACCCGCCTTTTTTTTGTGGTCGAGAACACTCACAACTCGCTCCCTCCTTGCTGCCTGTATAATTTGCATTGTACACATGGACACAAATACAGAGAAGTATTTTTCAAATTTTAAAAACTTTATTACCATATAACCTGGTGTACAAATAAAAAGTTAGCTTTTTGGTCAAAGATGTTTTTATCAACAGCTATTTACACAATGTCATTTTTCTGATACAGAACTGAACTATGCACATTTTTTGCACTTGTATTCTTTCTTGTCATCGGCGAGGGTTTCGTGACTGTACAGTTTTGGTAAAACTTCTTGATTATTCATGCATTTAGCCAGGAAGACCTTTAGCATTTGGGTTCTGTTACCAGATTTGCCCATTACTTGGGGTACGCTCAGTTATTGGGGTTACTCATCTGGGAGGGGGGGGTTGATAATTCTATTAATATACTGCTTGTGTCACTTATGTTCTTAGAGCTCTACTTTTCCCTTCTGTCACTTCCCTCCCAATGGAGCTATCCTGCACCCAGGCTCCCCAGAGCAACCCTCATATGCCCCCCGATTCAGCACAGAACCCACTTTCATGCCACAACCGTTCTGCTCGTAACTCACCTGATAACTAGAATTCTTTTGGTATGTTTTGGTTGAAGCAGAGGCCGGGGGAGGGAGTCTTCGTGAATCAGACTGGAGATCCCATTGACACTGGGGATCGGGGAGCAGAGCAGCAAGGGGGACCTGCCAGACATGGGTGGAGGGGGACCTTGGACCTCCACGCACCCAACAGTGGTGAGGACCCAGAGCTAGCCCCACAGCTGCACAGTGCCTCACATTGTGTCACAATATTTATAGTAAAAGTCAGGACAGGTCACATGGTTCCATGAATTTCTCTGAATTGCCTGAGACCTGTCCCTGATGTTTAACAGAAATATCTGTGACAAAATTAATGATCTGGATAATGGGAGGGATTGCACCATCAGCAAGTTCACAGATGACACTAAGCTAGGAGGAGAGGTAGATACTCTGGAGGGCAGGGATCGGGTCCAGAGTGACCTAGAGAAATTGGAGGATTGGGCCAAAAGAAATCTGATGAGCTTGAACAAGGACAAGTGCAGAGTCCTGCACATAGGAAGGAGGAATCCCAAACATTGTTACAGGCTGGGGACCGACTGGCTAAGCGGCAGTTCTGCAGAAAGACGACCTGGGGATTCCAGTGGGAGAGAAACTGGATATGACTCAACTACTGAAGGGAGGTTCCAAAGAGGATCAAGCTCAGCTGTTCTCAGGGGTGGCAGGTGGCAGAACAAGGAGCAATGGGCTCAAGTTGCAATGGGGAAGGTCTAGGTTGGAGATTAGGAAAAACTATTTCACTAGGGCTACGTCTACACTGGCATGATTTTCCGAAAATGCTTTTAACGGAAAAGTTTTCCATTAAAAGCATTTTTGGAAAAGCGCGTCTAGATTGGCAGGATGCTTTTCCGCAAAATCACTTCTTGTGGAAAAGCGTCCGTGGCCAATCTAGACGCGGTTTTCTACAAAAAAACCCAGAGGGCCATTTTCGCGATTGGGGCTTTTTTGCGGACAACAGTCCTGTGCTGTGTACACTGGCCCTCTTGCGCGAATGATTTGCTCAAGAGGGCTTTTGCCCGAACGGGAGCAGCACAGTATTTCTGCAAGAACACTGACAATCTTACATGAGATCGTCAGTGTTCTTGTGGAAATTCAAGCGGCCAGTGTGGACAGCTGGCAAGTTTTTCCGCAAAAGCAGATGATTTTGCGGAAAAACTTGCCAGTCTAGACACAGCCAAGGAGAGGAGTCATCTGGATGATGTGTCAGGGTCTACACTGACTGGACAGAGCTGTAAGTGGGGCATCGGAAGTGGGGTACGGAGAAAGTTTGGGTAAGCGAACTCTGCTGTGGTATTTTCCCAAGATAATGCCACGTGACAGTCACACCTCCCGGCACTTGGAGGCTGGGAATGTTCCCGGTTCTGCAAAAGGGGCCTTCGTACGCAGACAGGGGGCAGCAGTTACCTTCGAGGGGCAAGGGGAGAGACAGCCATGTCCCCAGCCTCCTCCTCAACGATCAGTGAAAGGAGCAATGACGCCCCTTAGTGGAGTTGAGAGCCGCTGATAATGCCACGTGACAGTCACACCTCCCGGCACTTGGAGGCTGGGAATGTTCCCGGTTCTGCAAAAGGGGCCTTCGTACGCAGACAGGGGGCAGCAGTTACCTTCGAGGGGCAAGGGGAGAGACAGCCATGTCCCCAGCCTCCTCCTCAACGATCAGTGAAAGGAGCAATGACGCCCCTTAGTGGAGTTGAGAGCCGCTGGGCTGAGAAGGGGGGGGGTGGAGCCGTGGCCGTGGGGGCGACAAAGGGAGACTCTCAGCGGAGCTGGCTGGAGTCAGCCCGGCCATGGGGTCCTTATGGAGCCGGGGATTGTGGGTACAAGTCTCACTCATGCCTCTCCCTCCTCTCCTGGAGCAGATGGGCAGCCTCCTCTTCTCCAGGGCTGGAGAGGCCATCAGCGGGGCAAATGCAGGCAGCAGGGGTCCCAGCATGTGCCATGTAGGCATTGGCACTGGCCTTGGGAGGGGGCATCAGGAGAGAAGCGTCAGCAGGAGGAGCCCGGACAGGGCGGGCAGGAGGAGCCCGGCGGGGCGCACGGCTGCACTGACTGTGCTGGCGGCTGGGGTGCATTTGCCGTTGGTTAGCTCTCCAAGGATCCCTGGGAAGGCCCCTGTCACGTCTTTTATCCGGGTGCAGGCGGTCTCGGTCGCACAGCCCTTCATGACGGCCTTTGGGGGAGTTCCACCTGCGTGGGGAGAGGGAGGGGGAAGATGATCAGTGGGAGGGGTGCAGCTCTCTTCCTGGGGATGGACTAGGACACATCAGCCAGCCCGGCCTCAGATCTGCCTCTGGGCCCCACGTTGGCCTCCCCCGGACTCCATCGCCCCTTCGGCTCTACTCCTCCAGCCTCTCTGGTCTGACATGCCCCCCCCTTCTCCTTCCCATGCATTCACTGGGTGTCCTTCAAGTCACCGGCCTCCCCCATTCACTGAGGACACCTGTACTGGGTCGGACTCTTGCAGAGCAGCAGCTCAGTGTTGGTGTCAGCGGTGGGATCTCGAAGAACCATGGCTTCATAGTGTATTAAAGCACCATAAGGGGACTCTGCAAAACTAGCATCAATTCCCAGCTCAGCTGCAACCTTCTTGTGTGAGTTGGGGCTAGTCATGGCACCATTCCCTGCCTCAGTTTCCTCACCACTTATCTGGGGAGAGTTTCCCCACCACACCGACTCAGACTGCAGGCTCATTGGGGCAGGGGCAATATCTCCCTGCAAGCCTGTAGTGCCTAGCACGGCTCAGTCCCTTGTGTGGGCAGAGCCCAGCATGGCCAGGCTCCCTGTGCTGAGCCAGGCCCTGCATTGAGGAGGTCGGGTGGAGAGTGAGAGGCACAGGAAGGGGAAGACCCGGGTTCGAGGTCAGTCCAGAGGCACAGAGCCCCGGTGTCCTGATCTGCGGCGGACACCTTTCCCTAGTGGGCCCCACCTGGTGTCTGTCTCCTGCCCTATGGGGGGGCAGAGGGAGGGAAAGGGCCAAGGAAAATCCCCCCAGAAGAAGTTATTGGAAGTTACCAGCTCTTGTGGTTACAGTGATGTCGATACATTGGGTCTCCGGGCCCACGCAGTCGATGGTCTCTTCACGACATTGTTCAGGGGGGTGAGCGTAGCAGCCGGGGCAGCGCCGGCCGTTCAGGGTGGTGTTAGCTGGGGGCACTTGGAAGAGGGGGAGCAAATGCAGTCAGCTCGGGGGACAAGCCCTAGGAGGTATCAGGGTAGGGAGAGCAGCTGGGGGGGGGCACCACTCAGCTCTGGATCCCCCTGCAGGGGGTGCTGCAGCTCTGGGGATGCTGGAGGCAGCAGGGGCAGGGGAGAGGTCTATGAAAGGAGCACTGGATCCCACCCTGGTTGGGCAGGGGGGCAGCTGGGCTCACACCTGGTGCCTGCCTAGAGCCCCGCCCACTCACTCCACCCACCCAGCCCGGGGCTCCGTGTTATTCAATGGGGAGCCCCCTGCTGGGTGGGAGGACCGAGGGGAGGTCCCAGGCAGCAGGAAGTGCAGGGATGGGGGAGGGGACGGGGCACTGTACCTTTAGCCACTTCTGGGGAGCAGCCATCCCCCTGGCAGCAGGCGACGATCGTCCTTATTGCCTTTGCCTTCCCAAAACTCACAGAGACGGGTCCGGCTTTGCACGTGCGGGAGGTCAGACAGGCCTTGACAGTAGCTTGATTTTTCTCTCTCTCTGCATGAGAGGAGAGGTCTGAGCTGTAACCTCCTCCCATTTCCACCCCATCAGCACCCTCTTCACATTGACAGCCCGGAGCCAGCAGCCTTCCTCTCCCCGAGGGGAAACTGAGGCACGGGGCGGCGACAGGACTCACTGGAGATTCCACGGAGCCAGAGCAAGTGATTTCTCTCCCGATCTGCAGCATTTAGGGCCTAAACCTGCTGCCAAACATGGGGGCCCCCGAATCCCCTGCCCCTAAAATTCTTCAGTTGCCAAAGGTCCCACCACGAGTACAAGCACCTACCCCAAGTTCTATCTGTCAGCGCGACGCTGCACGAGTCGAACTCAGGAGAGCAGGACTGTCGGTCGCCCCTGCAGTCAGCTCCAGGCCCAGCGCAAAACTCACACAGCAGGCAGGCCCCTGGAGAGGGAGGGAGAACATGAGGCCCGGACACCAACTGGGCCCTGCCCCACTGACACCAGTTGGTCCTGCCCAAAAGGAACCCAGCCCCACTGGCAGCCTGCCCCACTGGCTGCTGTGCAGCTACCTTGGGGGCTGTGTCACTCCGGGCCCTCTCCTGCTGTCCCCCAGATTCCCCGGCTGAGCCCCTGGCTCGGTGCCTGCTTCTCAGTTCCATGCCCAGAGCCCCCAGCAGGCAGATTGGAGATGGGGGCTGCTGGGGAACCAGCCCCACTCACCCATGGCCAGAAGAGCAGTGAGGAGGCAGGCGGCCAGAGGAGCCTTCATGTGGCTGGGGCGTTCCAGTCTCTGGCCAGGGGATCCTTCCCCGACAGTCTGGAAGGGGATCAGTCAGAGGCCGCCCAGGATGGAACCGGCCGGCAGCACGGAGGCACCCCTGAGCAATTTGCCACAGTTCTGGGGCGGCCACCTCATGGCCCCCTTCACTGGAAAAAGAAATTATTCCAGAAGTTTGAGCAAGTTACTGGGGGACGCTGCCCTAGATTTGATGTTAACAAATAGGGAGGGACTGGTTGGAGATCTGAAAGTGGAAGGCAGCTTGGGTGAACGTAACCGTGAAATCCTAGCGTTCAGGATTCTAGGGAACGGGAGAAGGGAGAACAGCAAAACAGAGACAATGGATTTCAGGGAGGCAGATTTCGGTAAACTCAGAGAGCTGATAAGTAAACTCCCCTGGGAAGCAAGATTAAGAGGAAAATCAACGGAAGAAAGTTGGCGGTTTTTCAAAGGGATATTATTAAGAGACTATTCCACTGTGTAAGTGTGACGGCGCGTCGGGTTTTTCTCGTCTCCTGACCCCCGGTAATGGCACAAACAGACTCCACCAGCCAGTAGAATAGAGGGAGTTTATTGCTTCTCCAGGCTGCAGCACAGCACAGATGTCATCTGGTTACAGGAACTGGGGCTAGGAGGCTTCAGTGCCCCCCTTGAGATGGGGGGTGGCTGGGCCCTACAATCCCAGCCCCCTCCCTAGCTCCTTCTCCCCTGCTTCCCAGACAGAAACTAAAGACCCTTCCAGCCCTGCCCCCAGCCAGGGGCGGCATTCCCCCTTCCTTTGTTCCTCTCCCTGGGGGGTAACTGGTAGAACAGGTCACCTTCCTGGCCCGTAAGGCCAGCAGCCAGTGGGGGTCACCCACAGCCCAAGCCTAGCAACCAGCAAGGTACCCCCACTACGTCACAGTAAGGAAGTTAGAAAGTCTGGCAGGAGAGCACCTTGACTTACCCAGGAGATCTTACATAATCTAAAAATCAAAAAGGAGTCATATAAGAAATGGAAACTAGGTTAAAGTTGAAAGGGTGAATACAAACTAAAAATACAATTATGTAGCGGCAAGATAAGAAAAGCAAAGATTAGAGTAATATCTAGCTTTTCGGAGGGTGCCACAGAATTGCCAATTCTCTGCATCTGCCTCAGTTTCCCCACGTTGTCTGGGGGGCTCTGGCCTTCATTAACATTCACAGGGTGATGGAGAGGGGCTGGGAGCCAGGACTGCTGGGTTCTCTGCCTGGCTTTGGCTGCCATCTCACATTTAGAGGGTAAAGCAAGGGGGCTGGGTGCCCAGATAGTTGGATTCCAACCCCTGCTCTGGGAGGAGAGCGTTCCCTAGTGGTTAGAGCACCGCTAGGCTCCCACTTACCAAATGCTCCTTAGAGTCAGGTTTTCTGGGTATGAAATCAAGGCCCCGTTCCACCAAGCTGCACCTGTCTCTTGCGCGGGCCTGTCACAACGGAGCTGGGGCTGCCTCGCTCTCCCGTTTTATACACCGGCAGCTGCGATGCAACATAGAAACCTTAATGGATTTGCGCTCAGCTCCAGGTACAGTCTGTAAGTTTCTATTCCTCTCGCCGGCCCTGCCCTCCCCCCAGGCCTCTGTGCGCCCTGGCACGTCCCCCGCCTTCCTGCCGAGAAATGGAATTCCAGGAAAGCGAGACTCCAGCTCTGCTCAGGCGGCCCTGAGGGGCAGCGGGTCCCACAATGGTCAGGGCAGCTGGCGTCCTGGGTTCTATTCCTGGGGCCATGTTGATTAAGGGCAGGACTCCTGTCAACTGCTCCTGCTCTTGGGGGAAGCGGTGCCCAGTGGTTAGAGCGGTGGGTGTTCCTGCCGAGAAATGGAATTCCAGGAAAGCGAGACTCCAGCTCTGCTCAGGCGGCCCTGAGGGGCAGCGGGTCCCACAATGGTCAGGGCAGCTGGCGTCCTGGGTTCTATTCCTGGGGCCATGTTGATTAAGGGCAGGACTCCTGTCAACTGCTCCTGCTCTTGGGGGAAGCGGTGCCCAGTGGTTAGAGCGGTGGGTGTGGGAGCCAGGACGTGCGTTCTGCCAAGGGGCTAGTGGGGCACGGGACAGTCGTGCTGCTTGGGCCGTGGAAATTGGGGCTTCATGGAGATGGTTAATGCAGGATGGAGGGGGCCTGCTGGTTAGGACTCCTGGGTTCTCTCCCCAGTTGTGGGAGGGGAGTGTGGTCTAGTGGTTAGCACAAGTGGCCTGCTACCTATGGAAAGAGAGTGGGGTGCAGTGGTTCTGGAGCAGGCTTGGGGTCTTGGCCCTGGCTCTGGGAGGGGAGGAGAGTCTAGCGGGTGAAAGCAGGGCAGCGAAGAGAGAGTCTGGGGGGGGGAAGGGAAGAGAGTGCTGCTGGTGAGAAGAGCTGGGAATCGGGGGGCCTGGGGTAAAAACAGGAGAGGGGGCCGTGTGGAACCCTTCTTTCAGTCCCACTTCCCGATGCCCTGAAGCGTAACTGTTTCCCCTGCAGGAGAGCTCTGCAGAAGGGCCCTTGTGCACAGAGTGGGCCTGGGGGCTGCCGTCAGGGTGGGGTCTTAGAGCCAGACAACAGCTCACCCAGCCTCCTCCTTGATCAGTGGAGGGAGCAATGAAGCCCCTTGGTAGAGCAGGGGGCAAGGAAGCCACCGTCCAAAGCAGATGTTTGC